TTATAAAAGGCTAATATGCAAATCGACCAAACAGCGGAACCACTGGTGGAAGGACTGGTTGCATGACACGCACTGACCACCAGGGGGCAGACGCTCAACGCAGGAGCTGCCACAGGGGGAGTGCCACTCAGCCAGAAGCCTCTGGCTCATGTAGCGAGTGCAGCGGTAGTGGCAGGAGCCTCTCCCACCTTTGTGGCAGCCCTAAGGATGTCTGACGGCTTAGGTCCACTCCCCGTGCTGTCAGTCAGACATCCCCCAAGCGCTCCCGCGCTCTGAGAGGGTGCAGGCCGGGCTGAGGGAACCCTCCCACACACACACCAGAGTGCACGAATTTCAGGCACTGGGACTCTAGTAAATAAATAAAAGTTAAAAAATAACAACAAAAGTCTAACTCCCCCCCACCTGCTTTTGATGCCTGGTATTTAAGGACTTGAGAACTCCCACCCTGTCTCTCCTCCAAGTACTAGCACCTCCCACCCTATTCCAATGGCGGCCAGGGATGGGAGCCCTTCCGTTCGACCCCAGGCTGGGAACCAGGACCCTGGGCTGGGCCTTTCTCCAGGGTCCGCAGCCTCGAGAACTGTGGGTGTGCACGTGGCCTCTGACACCACAATCCTGGAGACCAGGGGGGAGGGGAGGGGACCAGGGAGCGTGGCGTCACCCCTCACCTGCAGGTCCATGATCACTTCCAAGGTCGTGGGAACCTGGGGGGAGAGGGAGATTGTGAGCGACCACCAGCCAGGAAGGGGCCTCAAGGGCTCATGCCTGTCCCCTCGGCCTGCCCTGCCCTGCCCCCCACTGAGACCCGGGGCTGCCGCCTGCTTTCTGTGCTCGGGCCTGAGAGCCTCCGAAGGCTGTGACCTCGGACCAGGTCTCCCTCCTGCTGCGCCGCACTGTCCTCATCACCCCTCCACCCTGTGCACCAAGCCTGTGCTCTCTGAGCAGCCTGTGGGATTCTCACAAAACCCTCCAATCGCAGGACCCACGTGGCTCAGTGGCTGAGCTTCGACCTATGGACCAGGAGGTCAGGGTTCAATTCCCAGTCAGGGCACATGCCCGGGGTGGGGGCTCGATCCCAGTGTGGGGTGTGCAGGAGGCATCCTGCTCACATCACTGATGTTTATCTCTCCCCCTCCCTCTCTGAAGTCAATCTATCTATATATATAAAATCCTAATATGCAAATAAATCGGTCCAACAATATGTCGCTGTGACATATGCTGACCACTAGAGGGCGCGCGGAGAACATGGCGGGTGTTGGCTGTGGCGGGATGGTTCGGTCCAACAATAGGTCGCTGTGACATACGCTGACCACCAGGGGGCGCATGGAGAACATGGCGGGTGTTGGCTGTGGCCCGATGGTGGAGCAGGTGAGCTGGGGCGCCAGACCAAGCCAGGGCGCTGGTTGCTGTCATTGAGGCGGGCCTCTGGTGGTGACTGAAAATTCCTTGCTCCCGCGAGCTGTGGTCCGGCCCAGCACTTGCACCCCCTGCCAGAACCTGGATCGCCCCTGAGGGCTTCCCCACCTCCCCCTGCTCCTGAGGGGAGATGGCTGGCAGGTGCCTCTCGCACTGCTGCTGATGCTACCCAATCGCTTCACACTGTCAGCACAAGTCAGTGTGTGGGGGCGGCAGAGGAGCAGGGCTGCCAGCGCAGAGGATGGGCCAAGACCTGCCCCTGTGCCCACCACAGCCTCTGGCCCACAGTTCCTTCCAAGGTGCACGAATTTGTGCACTGGGCCCCTAGTAACATATTATTTACATATTTATTTTTACTTACTTTTATTTTTTATATTGCTTAAACTCTTACACAGAGTAGTACATTTATCTCCTTTTTTCCCCTCCTTAACCTTCCCCCAGCAGTAGCCTAATTTTTAAAAAACACCTCAAATCATGCCCTCCACTGGGAACCTCCTGTGCCTCCCATCCCCTCAGATGACGGCGGAGCTGACACTACAGACGTCACCCCTCCTCACACTGCGACCCCGCGGACACT